GGAGGAGGACGAGGAGGAGGAGGAGGAGGAGGAGGAGGAGGAGGAGGAGGAGGAGGAGGAGGAGGAGGAGGAGGAGGGCTCCGGTCTTCGGGCCGTTCCGCGCAGCTCTGGGCCGGGGAGCCCGCTCTCGCGGCCGGGGGCCGGCCGTGGCCAGAGAGGTCGGGAGCCTCGAGACGGGGGTCAGTGCAAGCGGGGGTCAGCCAGCGCGGGCGCGCCACCCACCCCTCTGGACGCCCGAAATGGGTACTGAAAGAATGGGTACCATGCCGAACAGCGGATCTAGTTCATTTTGAACAGGGCTCGCTGTCCACGCCGCTGGTGCCTGTGTCCATTCGAGACAGAAGGCCGCCTGCTCAACAGCGGCCGCTGTTGGTTTGGGACAACATTTGCTGTTGGGCATTGTACCCATTCTTTCGGTATCCATTTCGGGTGTCCAAAACCCCAGGAGATGCGCCCACCTCCTGCGGCTCGCTTGCCCCAGCCGTTCGTTCCGCCTGCTCTTGTGCACCGGGCAGGTGCCCCTGGGCATTCCCTGGGCGGGGCGCGCCGTCCATCCCGGGCAGCGCGCCTCTCCTCACGCTATGGGCGCACTGCTAGGGGGACCCAAAACGGTACAGACAAGCTTTTTGCGGGACGGGAAAATGACCATGGTTACTGCTTCTTGTTTGCGCCGCCTTCCAGCCAGCCGAAAAAGAAGCAGTGGTTGTGGTCATTTCCCTGGTGCCGAGCTCAACGAGAATGACCACCACCACTGCTTTGTTTCTGCTGGCTGGAAGGCGGCAACAAAAGAAAAGCAGTGGCTGTGGTCGTTTTCACGTCCCGTGAGCGCCCCGATCTTGCAGGATCCCGCAGGGCCCGGGTCGCATCGACCCGGGTTTGGGTGCAGGCTCCTGCAGGGCCCTGCAGGATCTTTCGCGTCGACCCGGGTTTGGGTGCAGGATTGTGCAGGAGTTTGCAAGGCCCGACTGACCAGGGTCTGGATTGACCCGGGTCGGAAGATCCCCGAAGAGAGGAGCCCCTCCGTTCTGCCTCGGATCTCCGTGCGGCAGGCATGGGGCATGCACGTCAGCCGCCCGTCAGAGGATCGAGGAGGTCGTGAGAAGGGGCAACGATATGGGGAGGATGCACTCAAGACTTAAGTCGGGCCTGTCCCTCTACAGGAGGAGTATTCAAAAATAGCCAAAATATAGTCAGGGGACGATTTCTTGATCATTTTTGCTTATTTCAGGTTATTTTCTGACTATTTTTAATTTTTCGTCCAAAATCCTTCTGTAGGGGGACAGACCCGACTTCAGTCAAGACGCTGAAATAAGGAGCAGTTTGGGTTCGGAAGGGGCTCGATGTTCCTTAGGTTCCTCCAGTGCTGTTCCTCTTGCCCTCCTGGGGCACGGAGGCGCTCACAGGGCCGAGGGGGGGCTTCTCGTTCCTTAGATTTGGCGTTCCCTCTTTCAGCGGCCCGACTGTAGGCATAGGGGGGCTGCATCGACCCCCAATCGCCCATTGATCACCGCTATGGGTCCGACATTCCCACGCCGCCCCAGGAGGGTGCGGGTTTGCCACCGTGGGCCTATCGCCGATCTGTCGGCGATGCATCGCCGATTGCAGGTCGATGTTCCCTCCCATGCCAGTCCCCCCCTATCGCTAAGACGGGCCTGTCCCCCTACAGGGGGATTTTCGATGAAAAACAAAAACATACCCCCAAAATAGTCAAACAATAGTAAAAAAATAGTCGGGTTTTTTTTTGGAGTATTTTCTGGCCTTCGTGGGGTAGGTATTTTTATTTTTCGTCGAAAATCCCCCTGTAGGGGGACACGCCCGACTTAACCCTATCGTTGCCACTCATCGTGACACAGTCCGCCCGCACAAGAAGGACGGGCGGCCTTCCCAAGGGTACCCCCCTGCATCCTCTGCCTCCTCGGTCCATCCCTGGCCGCTCTCGCGGGCCGCGCCCCTCTCCCGAAAAGCCTCGAGGTGGCCTTCCGAGGCCTCCTCCTCCTCCCCCTCCTCCTCTCCTCCTCCTCCCTCCGCCTCCTCCTCCTCCTCCTCCTCCTCCTCCCTCCTCCTCCTCCTCCCCTCCTCCGCCTCCCCTCCTCCTCCCCCTCCTCCTCCTCCTCCTCCTCCTCCCGCCTCCCTCCTCCTTCCTCCCCTCCTCCCTCTCCTCCTCCTCCTCCTCCTCCTCCTCCTCCTCCTCCTCGTCGCGCATCCTTATGCTACGGGTCGACTGTAGTGATACGTTCCAAGACCCTCAACCTTTCAGGATTCCCAAGGCTCCCTTGCGTTCCACGCGGGCCGCAGAAGCGAGGGCCGCGAGGCACTCCGAGCATCCCAGAACGCATCCTGAGCCAGCGCTACCATGACGTGGTTCTCGGGGCTGTTTTTTATGCCTTGTTCCGCCGATCGGCGCCGGCCCTGGCGCCCCCCCCCCCCCGCACTCCACAGACCAGATCTTGTCTGCTTTTGGCGGATGCTTTACCCCACACTGTTGACTGCTGCTGGCTTTCTGGCGACTGCTTTTTGCCCGCTTGCGCGACTGGTAGAAGCAGGTCGACGGAGCACCAGCCCAGGCACAGCTCCTCCCCCCCATGTCGACACCAAGACAGCGAAAGCAAGCTGGCCCCTCGTCCTACAGTCGAAATTGATGGCAAGGATGGGTGACCTTCCCCAGAGTACCCTTGCACCCGTGCCTCTTTGGTCCATCCTTGGCCACTTTCGTTGGCCGCGCTCCGCTCGAGAAGCTTCGACATGGACGTCCAAGGCCCCCGCAGCGTTATCGCGCATCCTCACTACCAGGTCTGACTGTAGTCCGCGGCCGTTGTTCAATGACTGCAGCGCCCAGGTCTCAGGGTGTTCTGAAGTCGGGCATGTCCCTCTACAGGAGGAATCTTCAAAAATGGTCAAAAGACATAGCCAGGGGACGACTTTCTATTACTTTTTGAGCATGTGTCTGATTATGTTTTTGACCATTTTTCCCAACCATCCTGTGGTGTTGGGTCCTCGTTTTGAAGAGACGGCGCCCCGCGCTCCTTCCTCCTCCCGCTTCTCCCTCCCCCTCCTCCCTCCTCTCCCTCATTGCCTCTGCTCTCGGCACACCCCTCAGACGTTTCGTAGCCTCATAGGGAGCTCCACCGAAGGTCCCAGTGGGGGTGCCCGCATGCGTCCCCCACGCCCAGCACAGCGTTTCGTGGCCCCATAGGGAGTTCCACCGAAGGCCCCAGTGGGGGTGCCCGCATGCGTCCCCCACGCCCAGGACAGCGTTTCGTGGCCCCATAGGGAGTTCCACCGAAGGCCCCAGTGGGGGTGCCCGCATGCGTCCCCCACGCCCGGGACAGCGTTTCGGTGCCCCACAGGGAGCTCCACCGAAGGCCCCAGTGGGGGTGCCCGCATGCGTCCCCCACGCCCAGGACAGCGTTTCGTGGCCCCATAGGGAGCTCCACCGAAGGCCCCAGTGGGGGGGGCCGCGTGCGTCTCCCCCACCCAGGACAGCGTTTCGTAGCCCCATAGGGAGCCCCACCGAAGTCCCAGTGGCATAGTTCGCATGCGTCTCCCCCACCCAGGACAGAGTTTCTTGGCCCATAGAGAGTACCACCGAATGCGATACTCACAACGACGGTTTTCACAACTGCATATGGTTGGGTCCTTCGCCAGGCTAATTTTATTTCTCCTCCAGATTTTCATTTCTCCTCCAGAACCTGCCTGCAGGAGGCCATGCCCGACCCTAAGGGTGTGCAGGTGGACGCCCCCAGGCTGGGCCGAGCCCAGGGCCAGCAGCGAGACGTCGCCGGCACCACGCGGACCTGCTTCTGCCACGCGTGCGCCGACCCCGCAAGGGTAACGCGCACGCTCGGAGAGCTTCTCGTACAAGTTCCGTGGCCCTCCCCCTCCTCCTACTCCTCCTCCTGCTCCTCCCCCTCCTCCTCCTCCTCCTCCTCCTCCTCCTCCTCCTCCTCCTCCTCCTCCTCCTCCTCCTCCTCCTCCTCCTCCCTCCTCCTCCTCCTCCCCTCCTCCTCCTCCTCCTCCTCCTCCCTCCTCCTCCCTCCTCCTCCACCTCCTCCTCCTCCCTCCTCCTCCTCCCCCTCCTCCTCCCTCCTCCTCCTCCTCCTCCCCCTCCTCCCCCCCCTCCTCCTCCGCCTCCTCCTCCTCCTCCCCCTCCTCCTCCTCCTCCTCCTCCTCCTCCTCCTCCTCCTCCTCCTCCTCCTCCTCTCCGTAGCCATTTTGGCTCAAGATGCTTTGTTCCACAGGGGAACACGTGGATACCGCTAGTCCGCGGCCAGTGCCAGGGCTCCCTAGCCCGACAGTTTTGTTCAACGCGTCCCGTGCCTCCTGCTGCCGGCAGGTGAGCACCCTCGGAACCTCTTCTGAAGCATGGGGAAGAGTCAGCAGGAGGCGCGACGTGCTGCCGAGGGATACGCCAAGTGCCAGTCGTGCAGCTACGCTTGGAACTTCAAGCGCAACCACTGGTGCTGGAAGTGCGCGAGCCCGCTCAAGCCCTCCCCTGGCCGCGCGCAGCAGCCAGGAGGTGTGTGGGGGGCGGGCCCAGGCGGCGGCGGCCCCAAGCGCGGTCAGGCCCCACAGGCACTGGCCGAGAGGGGCGCCCCGCAACCTGCCAGCCCTGGGCATGGCGACCGCCGTCAAGCCTTTCCTGATGCTCCGTGGGTGTCGCAGGTCGGCGGCAGTGACGAGCTCGCGCGCCTCCTGGCATGCCCTGACGTGGGCATCCGCGGCGAGCTCGAGCGCGTCCTCAAGGCAGCGAGGGAGTACAAGCCCGTGCCCCCGCCTCAGGCCGAACGCACCCTGGCGCAGAAGTTGTAGTTAGCTACGGACCGACGGCTGCATTGGCGGAAGATCCTCGACGAGGCCGCCAACGCGCACACGGAGGCAGAAGACAAGCTCGCAGAGGCGACGGAGTGGCGGGACCAGTGTGCTGCGAACTTCGACTCCGCCCAGCGAGAGGAGGCCGAGCTCCTCGTCCTCAGGGCCAAGGAGACGGGCGCTGCGGCCGCGGCCGTCGACCCTTCCCGCCAGGTTACCTTCAACTTCGACGCCGAGAGCTTCGAGGATTGGGAGGACCTGGAGGAGCAGGCCCAGGAGGAGCTTCGCAAACTCTGCACGGAGGGCAAGGCCATCATGGAGGAGGCGAGGGCCAACTTTGAGGCCAACTGCCGCACGCAGCAGCAGAGGGTCAAGGAGTTCCGCGAGGCCCAGAAGAAACGCAGGCGCGTGCAGGAGGACCCCGCATCGCCAGCTGGCCCGCCGCCGCGCCAGGAGGCCCCTGCTGCTGCCGAGGCGACGGCGGCCGCTGGTGGCCAGGCCCCCGAGAGCGCGGCCGAGGCAGCTGCCAAGGCCCGCGCTGACAAGGAGGCAGCGGAGCAGGAGCGCAACGCCAAGCAGATCGGGGAGGCCGCGTCCATGGCCTCCCGCACGGCCAAGGCCGCTGCCGCGGCGCAGGCCATGGCGGTGGCTACCACTGGTGGCGCAGCCCCTGCAGCTGCTTCTCCTGCTGGTGCAGGGCCTGCTGGGGGCCAGCTTTAGCGACGCCCAGTGCTTCCACCTGCCCGACTACACGTCGGCCTGGTCCTCCCGCTACGTCGACGTGGAGCAATGGCGGCTAGGCATAATGGCAGGGGGGAGCGGGGCTAGACGCATCGAGAGAGTGCCGCGGCCGCGCGGGTGGCCGAATCCTCACTCCATGCGATCCCCGTCGCCGAAGCCGCCGACGGGCGGGTGGCCGATGCCTTCGGCGACGGGTCGAGCCCCTGCCCCTGCCAGCCTATGCCGCCACATGTACCAGGGGGAGGCCGACGCCTTCGCTGACTTGGACGACGAGCCCCATGCGTACAACGAGCACATGGATGAGCCTTCCGCGCGGAGGTCAGTAGCGCCCCCAGCGGCCATCGCACGTGCCGCCCAGACCGCAGCGACGCACTCCAGACGAGAGGCGTCGACAGAGAACGGAGGGCAAGCAGGCGTCCATCCTGTTTGCCAACATTGCGGGGTACGGCCCCCAGGCTTCCAAGTTCCTCGCGGAGAGGGGCAAACGCAAGTACAAGGCCATCGCCTTCGTGGAGACCCATGCCACGGCGGAGCAGCTGGCGGCTACGCAGGTGGCCCTGGGCAAGGATGGCTGGAGGGTGGCTGGCGCGCCGGCCGCGCCCTCTGGGAAGGCCAAGTCTGGGACTTTGGAGGGGAGATGTGGTGCATTGACAAGACCTTGGCGGCCACAACGTACGAGTGCCATCGACATCGCCACCTCCTAGCCACGGGCAGGGAGGTCTTCTTTGGCTTCTGTCCTGTGATCCTCCACCTCAAGGAGGGCAATGTTTCCTGGTGGCGATGTACTTGCAGCCGGGACTCAAGTTCGGTGGCCTCAACCGCACTCTGCTCTTGGCGGCGGGCAGCTTTGTGTCCGCCCTGTCCGGCCCGCGGGTCATCCTCGCGGACTGGAACCTTGAGCCTCCTGAGTGGGACAAGAGCGAGTGGCTTGGCAAGATTCGCGGTGCAGTTGTTGCACCTTCGAATGCAAAGGCGACTTGTGACAAGGGTCAGGGCCGCATGTGCGACTACGCAGTGGCCAAGCAAGGGTGGCATCATAGGCTCCGCCTGCAGGCCGTTTACGACGTCCCATGGAAGACCCACTGCGCGATCGAGGTCATCGTCGAGGGGTCCGACCGTCGATGGCACCACGACGAACTCGTGGTTGCCCGCAGCCTCCCCGTCCGAGAGAGGCCTCCCAAGGAGCCAGACCCAGACAGCAATGCCTCGAGGCGCAGGGCAGAGGCCCTGCAATTGAGGACCAACGCCCTGCCACGGCAGCTCCAGGAGACTTTCCTCGATATTCATGAGGATACTGAGGACCAGCACTCTGAGGATGCGAAGCCTCTCCTCGTCGCGGAGGAGGTTTGGTCCAGCTGTCGTCGTACACTTGGTGATCCCATCCCGCGAGCTGGCCAGATGGAGTACTTCATCAATGCCAGTCGTCCTGGCGACGCCCAGGAGGTCAGCCTTGCGTGTGGCAATTGGATTTCCCAGCTCGAGGAGGCCCATATTGCTACCGAGCGGCCTCGTCCTGATCAGGCTAGGGCTTGTCGAGGCCGTGCGCAGGGGCTTTCCATCAAGCGGGTCAAGGCGTGTACTACCCCAGGGAGGGCTCACACGTTGGACCCTGGCGTCGAGCTGTGGAGCGCCCTGGCGACCTTGGCCATTCGGGCCCTCGCGTTGGTGGTGAACAGCTCCGACAGCGACCAGTTAGACTACGTCTTGGGCGACCCCGAGCAGCGGTGTGATACCATTGCGAGTGAAGCCCACCGTGCCAAGTGTTTCGGTAATGCCCTCAGTGCTGAGTTGGATGAGTGGAGGCATGCGAAGGATGCTCTCCTGGTGGCCATCGGCAATGACTTCCAGCTCATGTCGTCCTCAGGCCTCATCGGTGTTATTTGTCCGTTCATTGAAGTTTCCGAGCGATGGACGAGCAGAGCCTTGGGCAGATCCCATGCCAGGGCACACCGAGTCGTGGAAGTCCAAGGCGGGGGTCATCTACAGGCATGTGCGCGAGCCGCAGGTGCAGCAAACAGAGGTGCTTCTTGGGGATACCGCCGTTGCCGACCCGTGTAGCATCATGCGTGCGAAGACTGAAGTCTGGGAGAAGGTGTGGTCGGATCCTGAGTTTGACCAGAGCCAGGTTCTACAGGACGTGGCGTGATCTCCGTGCGCGAGCTGCTGAGGACCCCCTGGAGCCCATCACCCTGGAAAGGCTGGATGTGGTGCTCTCGCGGACGTCGTCCAAGAAGGCGAAGGGCATCGACAATATCACGGCATTGGATATTGCGCGCTGCCCCCCCCCCTCGGCACGACAGCAGCTGGTCGACCTGCTCAACCTGATCGAGCGGCGTGCCCTCTGGCCATGGCAGCTCACCACTGCGATCGGCGCTACGGTGCCGAAGCCTGCTGGGGGGGGGGGGGGGGGGCAGTCATCGGCATGCTGGCGACGACGGCCAAGATCTGGTCCGAGGCTAGGTCCACCGTCTCGGACGAGTGGAAGGCCTCCCAGGACCAATGGTGGGACACCGCCATCAAGGGCAGCTCAGCCCTCAGAGCGGCCATCGTCCGTGCCCTGATGGGCGAAACGTCGCTGACGATGGGGTTTCACACCGCGACCTTGCTGCTGGACAGAAGTTCTGCGATAGCATTGGCTTCTCTCGGCTGCTCCAAGTGGGGCTCCGCATGCGGTTCCTTGCAGTGGTGCTGGCATTGGAGGCGCAGCTCTTCTTGGCGCCAAGGCACCTCCGCCAGCAGCTGTGGCTAGGGCCACGCCTTGCGCCGCAGCGCTCGGTGGTGGCGGGCAGCTCCCACGGCACCAAGTGTGCGAAGCTCTTCCTGGCGCCCATCTTACGGGCCGCCCACCTCGAGTGGGAGTATGCGCAGCTGTGGACTTTCGTCGATTACACGGTGGCGAGGGCGGAAGGCAAGCTTGAGCACGTTCGCTCCACCATCCTTGGCGTGGCGGGGTCTCTCAAGGCTGGCCTCGACGAGCAGCACTTGCAGGTCTCTGGCACGACCGTCGTCATCGCCAGCCACTCGCAGCTGGCCAAGGGCCTCCACCGTGCGCTGGTACGCAGAGACGTCCCCTGCGAGGCGGCCAACCACGCGGTGGACCTCGGCGTGGGCACCGCTGCTGGGCGCGTGCGCACGCAGCGCAGGGCGATCGCCAGGAGGAAGGCGGGGCAGTGCCAGTTCCGCCGTATCTTCAGGATGAGGCGCCACGCCCAGCTCTCCCGTGTGACCAAGGCGCTGTGGTCCACGGCTGCGCTGCCGAGGTCGACGTACGGCCACCAGGCATCTGGCCTTGTTCCCTCGGCTATCCTCAGGCTGAGGCGGAGCGCAGCACTGTCGGCAGCGGGCAAGGGTCCTAGGAGGTGCCTCACGAGCCTCCTGGCCACGCTCCACGGCGACGAGGAGCCTGGGCTGGAGCTCAGGCGCCAGCTCTTGGGTGAATGGCTCGACCTCTGGAGGCGGCCCCCGCAGCTCCACAGGCGTATCGAGTGTGCGTGGCCCAGCGTCTTGGCCAAGCTGGTGCGCGCAGGGCCCAATCGGAGGTGGCGTGCTGTGTGTGGCCCCATGGCGGCGCTCATGGCGATGCTGCTGGACGCGGGCTGGGCGCCTACTACGGCTCGGTCGTGGACGACAGCCACTGGCGTCGACTGGCGCCTTCCTGGCCACGAGGACCTTTACATGGACACGTCGGCGGTGCAGGGCGGCTTCGTGGCGGACCTCAAGCGGGCGATGTGGGGCGTGGCCAGCAAGCACCTGCACGGGGACGGCTTGTGCGAGGGCGCGGATGCCACCGTCATCGTTCGTGAGCAGCAGCGCTGCATCTTCAGAGGCCAGATGGACATGTACGCGCAGAACATCGTGGTCACGTCAGGTGGCCAATGGCCGCGGGTCGGGCAAAGGGATGCGGGCTACGAGCTGGAGTCTGTCACCTGCCCCCGCTGCGGCCACGAGGACGAGACCTTGCATCGCCGAATTTGGTCGTGTCCTGCGAGCCGAGGGTGCAGGGAGTGCGATTCCACCAGCCACTTTGCGGCGCAGGCCAGCGCCCAGCATGAGAGCCAGCCGTCTCTGTGGCTCCGCGGCTTCCCCGCGCTGCGCCTCGCGACGCCGCTGTACGACGAGGACTTCGCGGAGTGGTCCTTCGAGGTTGGCGACTTCCGTAGGGCTCGAGGCTCTCATGGAGTGCTTCATCTTTTTGGAGACGGCAGCGGGGGGGGGGGGGCACGCTGCGGACCCTCGTCGTCGCCGCTGCGGAGATGCTTTTTGCTCCGTTTCTTTTGACGAGGAGGAGGGCGCCTGGCGCCAGAGGGAGGCGTGCTGGGCGGGCTGCCAGCGCGCCAGACTGTCCCATGCGCGGAGCTTTTGGCCTTCGCCCTTGCCGTCGAGTCGACAGAAGGCCCCTGTGTCTTTTACACTGGCAATCGTGCCTTGCACCTAGGGTGGCTCCCGGGCAGGCAGACCTCTCCTCTCGGGGTTAATGGGGACCTCTGGGCTCGTGTGAAGCGGGGATTGGCCTCCAGAGGACCCCAGGGAGCCGCCGAGATTTCTGTTGTGTGGATCCCGTCCCACATGGACGAGCAGGTCCACCTTTAGGTCTCGCCTAGTGTGATCTTCCATGCCGCTGGGAATGCCTGTGCTGATGCCCTGGCGGTAGTTGCGGCCCAAGAGGCCCTCTCTCGGGGGCTCGTCGGCGACGCCCCGCACACTGATGTTTGGGACACCATCGCTGCGCAGGTTAGGACTCGGGCACGGAAGGCCCTGATTGACGCGCTCGAGGTTGACGCTTGGGAGGCTAAGAGGCCTCCGAAGACTCGGTCCGCTCCTCAGCCAAAGCTCACCCGAGCCTTGGCGGCCAGCCAGCATGCCTGGACCTCCGTCCAGGGTGGTTGCTGGCTGTGCTGTGCGTGCCGCCTTTTGGTTCCTGGGTCCAGGATCGAGGAAGCGGCCGAGTCTTCATGTACCCCCGTCCCTGCACCTAGGGTGGGCGGTGGGGTGGGCGTCCCGAGCAGTATTGTTAAGAGCAATTCGTACTCGATCCTTGGGAACCAAGTGGTCCATCCGTTTCATGAGCTGTTTCTTTGGCAGGAGCACAGTCTGTTATTTTGCAATGTGTGCGGCTCGACGGCCACCCTGCAGCTGGTTGGGCTGGCCGTGCCGTGCCGCTGCCCCACCAAGAGGGGGCAGCATAATCTCACAAGGGTCAAGCAGGGTAAGGTCCCCAGCTATGCAGGTCTGCCAAAGGGGGCCAAGGATGCCTCCCTGATTGTCCAGTCAGGTGTAGGAGCGGCTCCTGTTGATGGGTCCAACGAGGGACCTCCTGAGAGCTCTGTCGAGGGCTCCAATGAGGGACCTCCTGAGAGCTCGTAGAGTGGTTGGAGGGACACTGCGTCCCCTTTGTATCTCATATCTCATATCCTCCTCCTCCTCCTCCTCCTCCTCCTCCTCCTTCCTCCTCCTCCTCCTCCTCCTCCTCCTCCTCACCCTCCCTCCTCCTCCTCCTCCTCCTCCTCCTCCTCCTCCTCCTCGTCCTCCTCCTCCTCCTCCTCCTCCTCCCTCCTCCTCCTCCTCCTCCTCCTCCTCCTCCTCCTCCTCCTCCCCTCCTCCCCCTCCCCCTCTCCTCCCCTCCTCCCCCTCCTCCCCTCTTCTCCTCCTCCTCCTCCTCCTCTTCCTCCTCCTCCTCGTCCTCCCTCCTCCTCCTCCTCCTCCTCCTCCTCTCCTCCTCCTCCTCCCCCTCAGCCTCCTCCGCCTCCTCCTCCTCCTCCTCCTCTTCCTCTGGCCGCACGGCTCGGGAAGAGATCTGCTGTCAGATTCGTGTGCTCCGTGCTCGCGTCCATCGTGTGCCTCCAACAGCAGCGCACGGTGCCAGGACGTCCCTCTGCGCCCCGCCCTCGCTCGCGTCCGGGGCCCGTGGCAGGCCGTCATCGCCTTCTTCGCCGGCACGTCCGAGCTGTCGACCCCGGACCTCCTGCGGTGCCCCCGACAGGCGAGGCTCCGGAGGGGAGGGAACGCACATCGGCACGAGCGACATGGGTACGGCAAGGCGAAGAGGAGGAGGAGGAGGAGGAGGAGGAGGAGGAGGAGGAGGAGGAGGAGGAGGAGGAGGAGGAGGAGGAGGAGGAGGAGGAGGAGGAGGAGGAGGAGGAGAGAGGAGGAGGAGGAGGAGGAGGAGGAGGAGGAGGAGGAGGAGGAGGAGAGGAGGAGGAGGAGGAGAGGAGAGGAGGAGAGAGAGGAGGAGGAGAGGAGGAGGAGGAGGAGGAGGAGGAGGAGGAGGAGGAGGAGGAGGAGAGGAGGAGGAGGAGGAGGAGGAGGAGGAGGAGGAGGAGGAGGAGGAGGAGGAGGAGGAGAGGAGGAGGAGGAGGAGGAGGAGGAGGAGGAGGAGGGAGGAGGAGGAGGAGGAGGAGGAGGAGGAGGAGGAGGAGGAGGAGGAAGGAGGAGGAGAGGAGGAGGAGGATGAGGAGGAGGAGGAGAGGAGGAGGAGGAGGAGGAGGAGGAGGAGGGAGGAGAGGAGGAGGAGGAGGAGGGAGGAGGAGGAGGAGAGGAGGAGCAGGAGCAGGAGCAGGAGGAGGAGCAGGAGAGGGGAGAGGAGGAGGAGGAGAGGAGGAGGAGGAGGAGGAGGAGGAGAGAGGAGGAGGAGGAGGAGGAGGAGGAGGAGGAGGAGGAGAGGAGAGGAGGAGGAGGAGGAGGAGGAGGAGGAGGAGGAGGAGGAGGAGGAGGAGGATGAGGAGGAGAGGAGGAGGAGGAGGAGGAGGAGGGGGGGAGGAGGGGGAGGGGAGGGGAGGGGGGGAGGAGGAGGATGGAGGAGGAGGAGAGGAGGAGAGAGTGTGCAGGAGGAGGTTGTATGTTGGGTCGCTTCTATGTGTCGACCAACTCTCCCTCCCTCCCTCCCTACAATCCCATCCCCCTCCCGGCCCTCCTCTCCTCCTCTGCCCGTGGGTTCGCCTTCGTTTCAGGGCCGCCGTGAGGAAGAGACGTCCCTTCGGGACGACCGACATGTTTACGGAAAGAATGGGTACAATGCCCAACAGCAGTTCCTGTTCATTTTGAACAGGGTTCGCTGTCCACGGCGCCGCGGCTTGTGTCCATTCGAGGCAGAAGGCCGCCTGCTTAGCAGCGGCCGCTGTTGGTTTGGGACAACATTTGTTGTTGGGCATTGTACCCATTTTTCCGTACCCATTTCGGGCGTCCAAAACGCAGGCACAGGTCATCGCTGCTTCCCAGGAAGATTGGGGGGGGTCGGGGAACGTTGGAAAAACACATGGAACCCGTACCCCCCCCCAACCCGAAAGTCGGGTCAAGTTCGTGTCTTCGGGTTGGGCTGGGGTGGTCTGGTAGGTAGTCACACAGGGTGTACAGCTGCCCGCCCCCCTCCCCCCTTCACTCCATAGACCCGATCTTGCCTGCTTTTGGCGGACGCTGCGTGGCGACTGGTCAGGAACCCCACCCCCAGTCCGCTGGCGCAACTGGCAGAAACAACCAGACCAAGCACCAGCCCGATCTCAGACCCCCGCCTCCTCCACCCTCCTGCTCCGTGCGAAGCCCAACTGTAAGAGCAAAGCGCCCACCCACGTTGCTGGCCTCCTCCTTCCGTGAGGTCCGCCGTTGCGAAAACTGCATCATTCAGGAGGGGAAAACACACAGGCACAATTAGTCGTCGATTCCATAGAAAATATGGGAAAATATGGGAAATGGGGGGGAAGACAAAAACCCTAGAAAACATGGGAAACTATTGGGAATCCTGTCATTCGTGTGTGTATTCATTTGTGTGTCCTGGGGTCCCTGGAGCTTCCTCCTTCCCTGAGAGCCGCCGTTGCGCAAACGGCATCATCGCGAGAGCTCACGACCAGAGCCCCCGGCGCCGCTCAGCGTCCCTCGGCGGCAGCTCTGGCAGCCGTGAGTGCGCTCGCTGGATAATCAGGTTTCGCCCGCAGCCCGGGACGACCGCTGACGCCACCTGCGCCTTCGCTTGTGGCCGCGACCAACAAAAACAAAAAGACAAATTACTCCGACGGTAGGACCCCACATGAGAATCTGTTTAGCTTACCCTTTGCCCTTTTCTCCTCCCCCTGGCGGACACCCTCTCCTCTCGCCCTCTGCACTGCCCTCTATTCCTCCTTCTATTTCTCTTCCTCCTTCTCCTCCTCCTCCTCCTCCTCCTCCTCTCGCGCCACCTCCTCCTCGTCGTCGCCCTCCCCCATGCCCCTTCCCTCCTCATCCTCCTGCCTCTTCTCCATGTGCACCTCCCGTTCCCCCTGGTCGTGGCAAGCAGCTCGATTTTCTTCGGCGCCGTCGCCGCGTCGGCCAGCACGCGCGCGTTTGCCGACGGCTAGATCGCGAAGCCGTCGGGACCACCCTTCGGGCCAGGCCGTTGGGACAACCTCGCAGGCCGCAGGGGCGCGGGAGCCAGCCGTTGGGACAGCCGTGCGCGGGGTGGGTGCGTCGAGGTTTCGCTTGGTGCCGGCCCGCGGCTGGTCCCGTAACATGATCTGCGGGCCCCATAGGGAGGGGGCTCCCGCCGGAGACTTCCTCGCAATTCACTCACAGACGAGGCTCCCGCCTGATACTTCCTCCATATTCAGGCCTCTAGAGCCCCAAAGTGACGACAGTTAAACGTTTCGGATGACCCGCTCGGATTACCAACATGAGGTGCGGGCCCCATAAGGACGGGGCTCCCGCTTGAGACTTCCTCGCAAGTCACTCACAGACGAGGCTCCCGCCTGATACTTCCTCCATATTCAGGCCGCAAGAGCCCAACAGTGACGACAGTTACACGTTTCGGATGACCCGCTCGGATTACCAACGTGAGGTGCGGGCCCCATAGGGAGGGGGCTCCCGCTTGAGACTTCTTCGCAATTCACTAACAGACGAGGCTCCCGCCTGATACTGTCTCCATATTCAGGCCTCAGGAGCCCAAAATTGACGACAGTTACACGTTTCGGATGACCCGCTCGGATTACCAACGTGAAGTACGGGCCCCATAGGGAGGGGGCTCCCGCCGGAGACTTCCTCGCAATTCACTCACAGACGAGGCTCCCGCCTGATACTGTCTCCATATTCAGGCCTCAGGAGCTCAAAATTGACGACAGTTACACGTTTCGGATGACCCGCTCGGATTACCAACATGAGGTGCGGGCCCCATTGGGAGGGGGCTCCCGCGTGAGACTTCCTCGCAATTCACTAACAGACGAGGCTCCCCCCTGATACTTCCTCCATATTCAGGCTTCAGGAGCCCAAAAGTGACGATAGTTACACGTTTCGGATGACCCGCTCGGATTACCAACGTGAAGTGCGGGCCCCATAGGGAGGGGGCTCCCGCTTGAGATTTCCTCGAAATTCACTCACCGACGAGGCTCCCGCCTGATACTTCCTCCATATTCAATCTAGGGAGTGAATGATGACGAAGTGATGAGTCAGTGAGTGCTGATGATCAATGAGAGATGAGTGAGTGATGATGATGCTGATGATGGTGATGACCATTGAGTGGGTGATCGAGAGATGATGGTGATGGTGACGATGATGTTGAGAGAGGCGGCGGTCCTACAGTCGGAGGACCACTGCCTCCGAAACCTACTGAAGATGACTGAGTAATTGAATGAGTGAGTGGGTGATAGAGTGGTGATGATGGTGACGATGATGATGATCAGGATGATGATGATGATGATGATGATGATGAGGATGAGTGATGACGGTGATGGTGGTTGATGGTGGTGATGATGGTAATGATGATGAGTGTGTGCGTGTGATGACGATGATGGTGGTTGATGGTGATGATGATGGTGATGATGGTGAGAGAGAGAGAGAGAGAGAGAGAGAGAGAGAGAGAGAAAGAGAAACAAAAAAAGAGAGAGAGGAAAGGGGGGGGGTGAGATCCTGCGCGGCGTGTGCAGAGAAAACAAGAACCCAACTTTGGATGTGGGGAAAAATCCCACGACGAGAGCCCCAGGCCCCATCCTTCCGCGGCATCTTTAGGGGAACAAAAAGTCGCATAAACATAACAACTCGGAGGTCCGCGCGGATTTCTCGGATCGGCGCTGGACCCCCCTCCCTGGCGCGCGGAGCGCGCCGGGGGCGGCGCCGGAGGCGCCGCCGGGGGGGCCCCAGCGCCGATCCGAGAAATCCGCGCGGACCTCCGAGTTTTTATGTTGATGTGACCTCTTGTTCCCCGAATCTCTCCCGGGGCACTGTGCGAGCCCGGGAGGCCCCGCGCAAAGATGGTGCATCGACTAGACGTAAGAGCGACCCTCCGCCGGAGTGACCTTTAGTGCGGGCACCGTGGGGCCCCCCGATCGCCGAGCGCGATGCGACAGCAGCGTCCTGCGCGCTCGTGTGTTGGCCCTCCCGCGGTCCCCCCAAAAGCCGCGCACCAGAGGTCACTCTTACCTGGGGTCACTCTTGCGTGTACAGTCGGGGTGTTGAAGAAGGAACCCTGTTCGTTGGGGAGGGGCTCCGTGTTCCTTAGTTGCTTTACGCTACTCCTTGGGTTTTCCTGAGTTTTTCCATGGAACATCGGAGTTGAATTTATGGGAAAAAAGGGGCCTCGTTCCCTCTTTATCGTTCCTTAGGTCAGCTCCCCGACTGTAGTCGAGTGCAGCCGGCCGGCCGGCGGCGGGGGCGGCGGCGCCGCTCGAGGGAGGCATCTCCCTTCCCCCCGCGGCGGCGCGGCTCGAGGGAGGCTGCTCCAGGGGGCGGAGGAGGAGGAGGAGGAGGAGGAGGAGGAGGAGGAGGAGGAGGAGGAGGAGGAGGAGGAGGAGAGGAGGAGGAGGAGAGGAGAGGAGGAGGAGGAGGAGGAGGAGGAGGAGGAGAGGAGGAGGAGGAGGAGGGAGGAGGAGGAGGAGGAGGAGGAGGAGGGAGAGGAGGAGGAGGAGGAGGAGGAGGAGGAGGAGGAGGGAGGAGGAGGAGGAGGAGGGAGGAGGAGGGGGAGGTGGAGTAGGGGGAGGAGGAGGAGGGAGGCATCTCCCTGCCGCTCGAGGGAGGCTGCGCGCCGTGCGCGGCGGCGCCCTGCCCGGGCGGGGCGCGCGCTCCAAAGGAGGCTCCTGGTGCAGTCTTTATGTCGGGCCTGTCCCTCGACGGGGGGGAGGAATGCTCAAAAACAGTCAAAACATAGCCTGGGGACTATTTTGTTGACAATTTTTATGTTTTTTTTTTTTTTTTTTCTTTTTCTTCATTTGGGGGGAGCACTCAAAAACCGTCAGAAAATGGCCCGGGGACAATGTTTTGACAACTCTTGGGGGCATTTTTTTTTTTTTTTTTTTTTGTTTTTTGTTTTTTTTCATTTTTCGTCCAAGGTCGGCCTGCAGGGGGACAGGCCCGACTTGAGTATGGTTGCCCATCGGTCGTTGGGAGCAGGCATCTCACGGATTCCCAGCTCCCCATCTGCTGCCGCCGCCTTGCTGCTTCGGCGATGGAGCGGTTCTCCCGCTTCTCCCTCCTCCTGCAGGAGGCGGGCGGGGGCCCCGCCTGCTGCCCACGCCTGCCTGCGCCGTGGTGCTGCCCACCTCTTCCGACCGCTGGGCAAGTTCCAGGATCGGGCGCCTTTTGGCCGCGCACCGCTCGGGAAACGATGTTCCCCAGGAGGGGAACAAAACGCACAGACACAATTCATCGTCGATTCCCCAGAACATATGGGAAAACATGGGCAGTGGTGGGGAGGACAAAAACCGAGAACATATGGGAGAATATTGGGAATATCTTTATTTGTGTGTGTTTATTTGTGTGTCCCAGGGCCCCTTCAGTTCCGTAAGACGCGTGTACTGCATGTTCGTGTCGGACGTGCATCTCCAGCATCAGCCAACCGCGCGCAGAGGGGCGGGAGGGCTTCTCAGAAGCACCCCGGCTTCTTAGACGGCGAGGGCCCTACCTGTAGCTGTAGGGCCGTCGCCTTCTAAGCAGCAGCCTCCTTTCCAAGAAGCCTCGTGCGCGCCGCCAGATCAGCGCGCAGTACAGTCAGCCCGCACAGTAAGGATGAGCGACTGTCCCTGTCCGAGATTAGCCGTGCGTCCTTCCCCCTCGGCCCATCCCTGACCGCTTTCGCTGGCCGCTCCCCGCTCGCGAAAGATGTCGCCATGGCCTTCCAGGGCCCCTGCATCCTGATCGTGCGTCCTTGCTCTACGGGTCGACCGTACTCGTGATGCCCTGCTGCGTCCCGCGCCGGGCCGAGGTGATGCTGAGCTACCGCACGAAGGGCGCCGAGTGGGCCGTGCGGAAGTGACGGCGCCCCCGCGCGGGCGTGGGCGGGTGCGGCCCGCGGGGGAGGCGTGCGCCGCAGAGAGGGCTCGCGCGGCAGGTGCGGAGGAGAGCCGGGGGCCGCCGCCACCGATTCGCGAGCGGCGATCGCACAGTGCCGTTTTTGATACGTTCTCCGCGTGCGGATCACGTATTGAAAAGGCAGGGACGTAGTAGTAAAAACAACGAGGAGTTCACGCACAAATTTATACATTAATTAATCATGTATTAGAGATCTTGTATATATATATATATATATATATATATATATATATTAAATCCTATGCATTAAAAAAACTGCCCTGTACAGTGGGGCGGAGGAGGAAGAGGTGCCCACACCTCGGCGGCGAGCCCAGGGGGGGGGGGCGAGAGGGAGAAGGCCCTCTCAGGAGGCGGCGGGGCGTCTCGGAAGCCCTCGCGCCCTCTGAGAGAGCTGCTGCGTCTTCGGGCAAGGCTGACAAGAGCTTCTCAGAGGGCCGGTTGGGCTTCCCTCGGTGGGGGCACACCGTCGACATCGGTGTTGGTGTCAACCTCGGGGCCTCCAGAACAGGGCCTCCGGGGTCCCTGGCGAGCCTCGGGTCCCCTTGGGGGGCCACGCCGGCTTGGGGCGGCTGTCGGCCAGTATCTCGACTGCATTGTTCTAAGCAGGTCGGATGGATCCACCCCCTCTTTGGGCGGCTATCGGCTGGCTAGGTGGCAGAGTAGGTATGTATGTATCCATACATACATACATACATACATACATACATACATACATACATACATACATACATACAAACACACAAACAAACATACGTACATACACATACATACATATATACATACATACATCCACCCACATACATACACATACATACATACATACATGCATGCATACACATGTATATCCATGCATGCCTGCATACATACATACACACATACACACATACACTCACATACATACACACATGCATACCTACATTCATACATGCATGTATACATACATGCACACACACATACACATCCATCCATCCATCCATCCATCCATCCATCCATCCATCCATACATGCATGTATGCATGCATACATACACGCATACACATACATACATACATAGATGCATGCATGCATCCATCCATGCATACATACATACATACACATACATACAACAAGCATTTATACAACACTATACATCTACACTTACTTACTTACACACTTAATTGCACACACATACACATGCACACATACATGCAAACACACAACTGCATATATGTATACACGGACTCGCAAAACACAAGAATCGCACACAGTCTGTCGCGTCAAGACGGCGCAGGTCTGGGACACGGACCGCGCCACTTTCGAACCCATCTGGGGGGGACCGAGCCCTGGGCGGTGGCACGCGCGAGCTTCGTCCTGCACTGGATGGCGCTCCGGCCCGCCACGGCCCAGGTCTGCGACCAACTGCGAACCCTACCCCTGCGGGTCCACTCGACGCCGGGGTATTGGACACCCCCGCTGGGGTTTGCTTGTTCACTGGGCCGCAGGCTTCCTCCGCGAATGCAGAACCCCAGCTGGCGTTCCAGACCTCTGACCTGCAGGGGTAGGGTTTACGCGCGGCTGCCTGCCAGGGATCGTCCCCCCCCTCCCCAGATGGGGTCCGAGTAGATGGGGTCGGAGGATCGCGTCGCATCGGCAGTGCATCGGCGATGCGGCCCGATGCGGAGCCCGATTTTCTCCACGCCGACGTCGCCGCTTTATCGCCGACGTCGATAATGAATCTCAATTTCATCGCCCATGCCTCGGCGATGTCTCGGCGATCCGGTGCAATTCTCCGACCCCGTCTTAGTGGACCCCATCCAGGAGGCCTCTGTTATCGCTGGGCGATCCCACACACCAGATCCGATCCTGGCCAGGCCCGTCCTGGGTGCTGGGGACCGGTGCCCCTGACCAGGCCCGGCGGCCGTGTGCGCCGGTGGCCCTGTCTTGGACCCTTCCTCTTCGTGGGCCTCCCAGACGGGGTCCGAGTTGACGGGGTGGAGGAGGAGGAGCGGGAGGAGGAGGAGAAGGAGGAGGAGGAGGAGGGAGGAGGAGGAGGAGGGAAGGAGAGGAGGAGGAGGAGGCAGGCAGAGGAGGCGGGGAGGCGGAGGAGGAAGGAGGAGGAGGAGGAGAGGAGGAGGAGGAGGAGGAGGAGGAGGAGGAGGAGGAGAAGGAGGATGCGGAGGAGGAGATGAGGAGGAGGAGGAGGAGGAGCGGGAGGGGGAGGGGGAGAGGAGGATGAGGAGGAGGAGGAGGAGGAGGAGGAGGAGGTGGAGGAGGAGGAGGAGGAGGAGGAGGAGGAGGAGGGCGAGGAGGAGGAGGAGGAGGAGGAGGAGGAGGAGGAGGAGGACGAGGAGGGAGACGGGCAGAGGCTGGATGAGGAGGAGGGTGGCAGGAGCGCGCTGCTTCGCCGAGGCGTCGGCCTTGCGGCTCGATGTGGAGCTCAGGTCTTCGCCGCGCCGACGCCGCCGCTGCGAGCCTCCGGCCCCATCCACTCGGACACCACCCGGGATGCCTCGACTCTTGCCCCCCAGGATGTCTCTACTCTTAAGTCGGGCCTGTCCTTCTACAGGAGGAATATTCAAGAATAGGCAAAAAATAGTCTGGGGACCATCTTTTGGCTATTTGTGAGCATTCTGGAGTCTTTTTGGGGTATTTAAAAAATTTTTCGTCCAAAATCCCCCTGTAGGAGTACAGGCCCGACTTAAGCCTGGGCCCGTGGATCGGGGTGCACGCCTGCCTGGCCAAGCCAGGAGGGGGCACGCTCTGGTCCTGGGCCAAGATGGGCCTGGCCAGGATCGGTGAGGGGGTCAGCTGGCGTCGCCCGAGAAGAGGAAGACGAGGTTGCCCCCCCCCTTCCGGGCCGGACGAAAGGGGGGGATTGGGAAAGGGGGGGTTACGAAGTTTGCTGCATGCAGCAGGTTTCGGCCTCACCGAGGGGCCCCTTCCTCGATACGTAGCCGCCTCCGGCGCCGGGAGGCGCCGGGAAAATCAGCCACATGAGCTGATTCTCAACCCCCCTTGTGTTGTCCCCCCCTTGCGCCCGACCCGATCCTTGCCCTCTCCTTGCCCGAGAAGAGGAGGACGCGGCCGCCCCCTCCTGCTCCGCCCTCTCCTGTCGGGTGTTGCGAGAAGTACCCCTGGCCCAAGGCACCCCCAGGGTTCTCGGGGTGGCCCAGACGGCCTCCAGGGCACCCCTCGCGAGGCCCAAGGGGCCCAAGGGGCCCCAAAAATGGAGCGAAAAGTTGGGGGCACCTTGGGCCAGGGGCACCTCTAGCAACACCCGATCCTGGCCGCGCGAGCGGCGCAGAAGCCGGCGGGAGGCTTGGCGGCGCCGGGCCCCCGGCCCCTTTGTGTCTCCGCGGCCCGCCCGTGGCCCAGCCTTCGCTGCCCGCGGGCCCCCGGCTGCTGCCCCGCTCCCTCCTCCCCCCCCTCGCTCTCGGGCGAAGGGAACTATTCGGGTATAGCCAGGACCCCGGGTAATAGTGGTAGGGCCCTGGGGCCCCTAAATTGGCCAGATTCGCTAAACCAGGTTTGCCGTAGCTGGTGTTTTTCGGGTGGCGGCAGTTCCGGTTAGTGGGAGATGGGACGGGGGGGGCGCCCCCGGTACAAATCACCAAACCAGGTTCCACTAAACCCTGTTCTGCCAACGCCCGAACTGTGCACATGCACCGATCCTGGCAAGGCCCATTCTTGACCCAGGATCGGTGCAGATACCTTCCTGGCCAAGGTAAGGAGGGCGTATGCACCGATCCTTGGCTCAGGGTGGGCCTGGCCAGAATCGGTGTGTGTGTGTGTGTGTGTGTGTGCATAGTTCTCCTTCCTCTACGTTCCCCCTCTTTCTCACTCCCGCTCCCTTTAAGTGTAAGTCGGGCCTGTCCTCCTACAGGGGGATTTCGTACGAAAAGTATAAATGAACCCCAAAAATGCTCCCAAATGCTCCAGACTAGCCCAAAGATGGTCCCCAGACTATTTTTTGACTATTTTTGAATATTCCTCCTGTAGAGGGACGGGCCCGACTTGAGGCTCCCCCTCTTTCTCCCTCCCTCTCCCTTTCAGTCGGGCCCGTCCCTCTACAGGGGGGATGTTCAAAGATAGTCGAACAGTAGCCCGGGGACGATTTTGTTTTGATGATTTTTTTGGCCATGTTGGGGTACTCCAGATTTCGTAATAAAAGGGAGGGGGTCTCAACCCTCCCAGACGAGAAGTTTTAGACCCCCCCCCCCGTGGGGGAACCCTCAAAACCATCGTCCCCAGACCCCCCCAGGCCCTCCAAGATAGCCTGGAAGAGACCCCCCCCCGAAATGAGACCCCCCTCCCTTTATTACGAAATCTGGAGTATATTTTTTGGGTATCCTTAATCTTTCGTCCAACATCCGCCTGGAGGGGCACAGGCCCGACTTAGCTCTCCCTCCCTCCCGCCCTCCCTCTGCCCCGCCCCCCCCCTCCCCGCTCCTCCCTCTCTCCCCTCCTCCTCCTCCTCCTCCTCCCTCCTGCTCCTCCTCCTCCTCCTCCCCCTCCCCCTCCTCCTCCTCCTCCTCCTCCTCCTCCTCCTCCTTCTCCTCCTCCTCCTCCTCCTCCTCCTCCTCCTCCTCCTCCTCCAAGGCGACGACCTCAAGCCGCAGCTTCACGCAAGCGAGCACTGAGCCCCGAGGGGGCGGCGCACGGCCTGAGGTTGGCCGAGCCGCCCAGTCGCACCGGCGATTCGTGTCTGCCCATGCCACCAGAGCTGCTCGATGGCCCCCTCGTCGTCGTCCTCGTCGTCCTCGTCGTCGTCCTCGTCGTCGTCGTCCTCGTCGTCGTCGCCCCGCGGTGCCGCCCGCGTGGGGGTCGCGCGCCAGAGCGCCCGCGCCCTCCGCGCTTGCGGTGTGCCGCGGCGGCCTCGCCGCCGCGCGGGGCCGCCGCGCCGCCTCTCGCGCGGGGGCGGGCTCCTCGTCGCCGCCCGCGCGCCTGCGGGCAGGGCGGGCGCTCGGCGCGCTCGTGGCCGGACGGACCGGGGCTAAGTCGGGCCTGTCCCCCTCGACAGGGGGAATCTTCCAAGAATGGCCAACAAAACAGGGGACGATTCTTCGACTATTTTTCAGTTTTGCCAACTTTCAAGATTCGGGATATTTTTGGGATAGTTAAGACATTTTCAGATTTTTCGCCCCAGATCTACCTGCAGGAGGACATGCCCGACCTCAGACAAGGGAACCTCGGCCGAGGGCAGCCTGGCCAAGGTCAGCCAGCCGAGTTCAGCCTGGCCGAGGTCAGCTGGCCGAGAACAGCCTGGTCGAGTTTTCCCCCCCGCCGAGTTCCGTTGCTGCCCGAGGTCGGGATGTGGAGCCCGATGTTCTTCACGCCGACGGTGGCGACGAGCCGCCGACGTCGCCAGTGCGTCGCCGATGCATCGGCGGAGCATCCGCGACGTCGGCGCGATCCTCTGATCCCGTCTGCTCGGCTCCGTGTGGGAGGCCTCCAGCAGTGGTGGGCGGCGGGGGTCGGAGGACTCCTGCAACGTGTACATGACCGTGCACGGTGTGAACTTCGACCTGCTCTCGCAGGATCGGGCTCGCACCATGGGGGGAGGGGCCCCGATGGGGGGGCCCGCGAGAGAGGGACCAGCTGAGCGGGAGGCGCAGGGGGCGGGGACAGGGGAGGGTCGAGGAGCAGCACCAGGTTCAGCAGGGCAGGGAGGAGGGGGAGGAGGAGGAGGAGGAGGAGGAGGAGGAGGAGGAGGAGGAG